AGAATTCATGAACGGGGATGTTCTTGCCTATTGACGGGAGAAAAAAATGTTTTCCCAGGACTAGCTGCGCTTGCCAGTACTATTCTTGCGATTCCTGCAACGAGAACCCCGAGTGAACGTGTTTTTTCCATAGCTGGATTGGTTTTATATGCTAAGTGAGCACGTTTTAACCCTACTCGCTAAAATAATATTTTTCATACATGATAATTACAATAATTGTAAAAACACATGAATAAAACATTTCACATTCAAAAATTGCGTTTTTTTACAAAAACAGCCTCGCCGCGGCGACGCACCGACCAATTTTTCCTAGCGCGCCGCCACCGACAAATCTTAGGTCAGCGCCCACCTCTACTTCCGTATAAAGGTTAACAGCACCGTTTTAAAATATGATTATCTTTACTGCTAACTTCCGTTTGACGCAGACTGTTTCAGACAAAAAATAAGAACTATAATTATTGTTTTTTATAATTTCATGGATTCGTTCTCACATGTATTACATACAAAATCATTCTAGATAATTTATTTCGCGAATTCCCAACGTTCTATAGAAGATATTCGAAGCTGGTTTTCAAATTCATCTGGGTCTATTCAGCGTACTAGTTTTCTATCACAATAGAGTAACGAATTTACCGTAAGCACTCAGTGTTACATGGGAAAATTTATTTCCGATCAGCGAAATATCAGATTAATTTTCACTTTATTTATTTTATACCAAAATCTACAACACAAGTACAATAAATTCTTAAGTAACAATTTACATCAAAATATGCCAATTACACATTGTTTATGGTAATCTTAACTAACAATGTAACAAAGTTCTCTATAATCCTAGTCGGAAATATCATTTCAAACCAAGAAGTTCCAGTAGAAATAATTGTGAATAGAAATGATAGAGCATTACGCAAAATTTTAAACGTCAAGTGCAAAATTTAATATAAATTTATTACACACACAGCTGTTCACTTGCGGAGGTGAAAGACATTTCTTTATGATGTTCAATCTTAGTTCATATCGTGTTTGGATTTACAATACAATATAACGGGAAGAGGATCTTAAATAAGGACACAATTCATTTTGATAATTTTATTACGTTAAGAAACCTAATTTTGACAGTTTTCCATTACTATGATTAAAATAGCATTCTTATATTATATTGATTTTTTGTATTATTTTAAATTCAGTTCCCAAAAACATGCACAAAGATAATTATCATATTCATTTAGTAATATTGAGGTAGTTATTAGTTTCAGAACTTATACCAATTATAAAATGGTTCTAGAGATAACAGTAAAGTCAAAGAAAAAAAAATAATGGTGGATTATAAAAAATACAGAGTGAACAGAACAGATACAGAAAAAAAACAATCTTCTAAATGTATATTGGACCTTAACACATTTACGAGAGAAGCAACAATAACAGCCCCTCGAGTTTTACGAGTGCGCAAAGCGCCTCCGACAACACATGTCTGCTGCGATTCCCCTCAACGATCGGACCGCGGAAGATGCGTAGTCGCTGCGGCCTCCTTCGGGCGCGGCTCGGCGACTCACAAAAAGCCAACCAAATCCAATCAAAAAAGAAACTCCACATTGCATCAGAGACTATTTTTAAAATTACATCGATCATGCAAGCACGAAACGAAATCGATAAACCCAGACGATCACACGCCAAATACACAAGTAGTTGATACAAACATGAGAAACTATATCAACGTAAACAGTAGAACCATCAAACGAGAATGACAAAGTTATAATATACTAAAGTATAGAGAACGACCAAACCGTACGCAAAGTGGGGCGCGGTGGCGGGCGGCGATGTAGTTCAGTCTCGAGCCGCGCGCCGCCCGCACCCTCTACAACTTAACGCTACTTCACAACGATACAATAATCAACTAAAACTATTTCATCATTCTAACACATTACAAAATCATAGAAGGTACATTGATACTCTCGCTCTCACAACTGTAAGGAATAAAGGACACGCCTATATATATACACTCCTCCTCCCGCAGAGAATGTGGCCGCTCACGCCAAAGGCCGACATAAACTGTGACGCATTCGGTGCACGCTTGAATGGCACTATAATAAAAATCTAGTGGCCGCTCTATGCGACACCGAATATTTTCCCAAAAACATCGCGCATCACACAAAGCCATAACGCGGCGGTAGGTATTTAGAGCGCGATTTCATTTGGCGTATAGCTTGTGACTCTTTGCAAAGTTACCAAAACTTTTCGTAATCGACCAACCACGCAACCACCAACCACAGTCGGCGTTTACGTGGTGTGATATTAGCCAGCATTGGAGTTTTTTTTATTAAATATTGCATAACTTTAAATAAAGCAAATTATTAGCCACAAGCTATATGCAATACGAGACCACTCCCTTATGTTTAACACCGCTGGAGCAGACTCGGATCCTATTTTGCGGTCACAGACTGACAGAGCTAGAGATACGAGCACAATAATAACCAAAATATCATAACTGTTCAGTGTAATGAGAATGCCGTGACGGTTTCACTCGATACAAGCAAGATTGAACTTCTTTCAATTATGGAATGTTATGATATATTCGAAACCAAGGATCCATTAGCTCCATTATTAAGGTTAAAGAAAAATTATATAAACGTTATCCGGACACTATGGATGGCGTCTGGAAGAGGCACGCTATCACTCACCACAGCCCACGGATAAAGCGATGTGAAATGTGACGAGGAGAAATGTGACTGATAGATAGTGAGCGGCTTTCAAATGCAGTCTTCGATCAAAACTGACAATAGATGGCTGTTGAATGAAAGGCACTAAAAGTTGCTGCGGTAAAGAGCTGTCACGGATATCGGGTGCACTGGCGAGGAGGCCGTGAATATCGGCTGAAGCTGTGGACCGATTAGCAGCGTCATTCTTCAACGGTCGGGATAAGTCGGTGACGGTGTTACGGGCCATTGGGTGGTCTGATGCCAACGCGAGATAGTTTTAATAATATGTGAAAGCATACAATATAGAAACAAATCGCGCGGTTGGCCACCTTGTACATAAGTGAACCAGAACAACTGCACACAAGTTGTAGTCGAATTATGTCGATATACTGAGAGATATTTACAATGCAGTCAACAATATGTGGAAGTATTATTAAATAAAGAAAAAACAGCGTACGTGTCGAACTATGGCGACGTAAGGACGAAAGAGTAAATAGTAATGCGACGAGCCGTACCCAGTCTGCAATGTTTTTTGTGTCAATTGTAATTTTCGACTCAAAATCGATGAGGTACAGTTCGAGGGGAATCTTGGAATTCGGTTCTAAAATAACGAATGAAAACGAATCAAGTGACAAGAATGAAAAAAAAAACCTAGCACTTGTTACGGGCAATGAATTGAAAATTATTTTGATGCACCTGGGATGTGATTGTGTTGTGTCTCTACAAAAAACGTTCGAGTCGCCGAACAGGGCAAAACAACCCCATTTTAAAAGGATATCGGTGGATTCATTAAAGTTTTCACATATATCGAAGAGTTCTAACAAGGTAAGGCAGTAGAGACACTTGAGGCGACTCGGGCGTCCTTATTTTTTTTTTTACTTCGGATCGTAGTTTAACCTAAATTTTAAGAAAACAAACAAAAGACTGCAAAACGTCCTCGGCAACATTTAGCCAAAACTTCCATATATCATTATCACATCACAATTATAAATATAAATATCTAATGTTTTCTCAATTTCGACATCGTTCACTTAATCTTACTCCCTCTTAGTTTTAAATATCTCACTTGGCACAATCGTAACACAAAACGTACACTCGAAAGTTGATAAAACGCTTCGCGATGGGGGAACGTCGCGCACGACGCCCATCCACCGCGCCATACGAGAGAACGTCATAAAGCTAACAAAGGTAAAAATTACAAAAAAAAAACGATCAACGACCGTCACTTACAAGTTAAACTTGATCTTTTAAACCTCTGGGATCTCGCCGTCCGATCACTATTTTATCAAAAATATTCATATGCCTCATAGGTGGACTGCATGGCCGAGGCGACGCTCTCGGTGGCCGTGTCAGCGTATCGTCAAACGAGTCGCTTACAATATATTAGCGAAGAAGTCCGTAGGAGCGTGATCGGTAACACCATCGCCGCGTCAGAATTTCGCGTCTGTCCGTCGCGATGGCGTATAGAACTGAACCGCTCCTCCCAGCTACAAATCAATGCATAACAAAAAACGTGCATTATTAAATCATGATCTTTTGTTTACAGTGCGCGGCACTACACCCATCGCTGTCGACACGCGTGAATCGGATATTCAGTAAAATAAAACAATCTCCTATCGCTCTACCATTTACACCTCCGCGATGTAGCCGAGTACGTGGCACAAAAACGACATAACAATAAATATATTTCATGGTACTAATTCAATTAAGCGGCACTATTGTCATAAAAAAAATAGTGTATATGAAAAATTATATAGCAATATAATGTATAACTATTAATCATATTCAAATTGTCAACATATTATAGGTAATCCGGATAAAATTTGGAATTTGTCAATATTAAATTACATTTCGCTACATTTATATAATTTAGGTAAACAACAACAGGGGGTCGAACGTCGCCGGCGAGCCGCTGGGCGCTGGGCGACGCGTTGTACGATGCGGTGCGATGCGATGCGGTGCGGTGCGGTGCGGTGCGGTGCGGTGCGGTGCGATACGGTACGGTACGATGCGATGCAGTACGATGCGATGCGGTACGATGCGATGCGAACGATGCGATGCGAACGATGCGATGCGATGCGGTGAGGCCGCCGGGGTGTGGCGAGCCGGATAGTGAGGGCAGGCACGTGGGTTGATCGGGAATATGGCGGTGGTGGTGGTGGTAGTAGTAGTAATAATAGTAATAGTAGTAGTAGTGGTAGTAGTAGTGGTAGTAGTAGTGGTAGTGGTAGTGGTGGTGGTGGTGGTGGTGGTGGTGGCGGCGGTGGTGGCGGCGGCAGCAGCGGTGGCAGTGGCAATGCTTGCCGCCTACTGCTGTGGCGGCGGCGGTTGAGCAGCACGGCGATGGCGGCCCGGCGCCGTCGCTTGTGCCACCATGTCGCGGATACGCCGCTGTGCAGACTGCAACAACCAGACCGTGCACGCATCAGTCCACGTGCTATTTTCTTAGACATTATCGCAGAGCGATTATTTTTTCTTAAAACCGAGAAATGTAATTTATAACCAAATTAAATTTAAAAACAAAGTTTTTACTAAATACTTGCTGCAATTGTGCAGTAATAAAATATTTAAAATAATCTCGCGAGTTGCTATATTTAGAGTTCGAGACCCACACTAGTCACTCACACACTTCCACAATCAAAACAATATGATTTCCAATGACCTATTCACATGTAGTTACAACTATCCAAAATAAGAAAGACAAAGGCAACACCATAAAATCAAACACAGTCAGATAGGTACACAAAACAATTTTTATTGCAAGTTAAATCATATAATAACGCTTCGCCTCGAGTTGAAATTAAAAAATAAAAAGTAACTCACCTATCAGACCGCATCAAATGCATACAAAAAGCCGTCTCGGCCTTTTGTCATATGGTATTTCTTTCTATCACAAATTCTGGACTGAATCCGTTGGACATCTTCCTCATCCCGCTTCAAGCGATTGCTACAAAATGTAAAAACTTATTATGCCACAGTTAGTCGCCATCAGTAGTCACAAGTCGTCAGTTCGCTTTGCGCTAGCAATAACTTAAAACTGTACTTATCTTATTTCTTGAACCACCGACGCTTCGCACCACACGCTACGCCGTTATCGAGTCTTCGCGAGATCGGAAGTGTAACTACATGTGTACATTGTTCATACATACTCATACATCACTCACACATATACACCTCAACAAATCATAAGTACAAACAATCTAGGTAAAAAATACTAGGTATCATGCTCACATAAAAACATAACTATTCAAATACATGTAATTTTTTCGCTTTTGCAAATAGCACAGCATGTTTTTAACAACAAAAAAACATAGACATAGAAAAAATCATTCTTATGTTTGTTAATATCAATTTTTAGACTTTATACACAGTTTAAATACGTAAAATAGTTAACAATGTTGTTAATAAAAATACTATTTACAAGACCTATGACAGATAAACAACATAACATTCTCCACACCATGCTTTGCTGCTCAGTAGGGACTTCCCTATCATATGCAACAAAGTTTTCATTTGCTTTTACAACTTTCAGGTATGGAATCATTTTACCAGAATTTCTAGAAACAGATAATGATATTTTTGGTGTATGAGATGTCTTTATGGCGTCCTGTATCTTAAAAAACATGAGTGATTTTAAACGGATGTTACATCAGTAGGAAGACGAAGTTTGTCTTCCTATTGAAGTGACATCCTGAGGCATTCAACCTTCAACCACAAAAGTAATAACGTGCACCTCGAAGTTTGTTTGATGTTACGAGGTGAATTACAGGGATAGAGCTAAAAATAATACTGTAGACTAGGTTCTAAGTAGTGCCGCCAAGAGGTCCAATTTTGGTAAGCAGAACTGGCCCTGTGGGATAAACAAACGTAGTGTTGAGGCACCTAAAAACGCTCATGGGACACCATGAAAGGTTTTGGTCGCTCATGACAGCAGGTGGCCATGGAAGTCGGAATCTGCTAAGGAGTGTGTAAGTTGTTTTAAAGACTGTCCAAGACATGGTTTAATAAATAATATAGTTACGAGCGGTATTCTTGCTCAATGTGATACAACACATTGCGTGAGAATAATATATTCTATTGTTATGACACAATATATTACCTGATATTATATCACGTATAGAAGTTGTGAGAACACTTCTAACAACTTTGAACTTTGATTGAGAATGAGATTTATGTAATGAGTGCTTATAACTTCAAGCATTTTGTTAGGAATTACTGCAAGAAATTAACTATAATAAAAGTGTATGAGGTGATTTATTTGTGATTAGTGAAAAATTGTGGATTTCTGTATTGTTAGCCAAAGCCCAAGGATACTAACTTTAAATAAATAACATTACAAGTGCGTTATCACCTTTGGGCTAAAGATGGAATGCCTGTTTTATGGTGGGGCTGGCTGCCACCCTACTAAACAACAACCTATAGTTGTTTAGTAGAAGGTGGCAGCCAGCCCCACCATAAAACAGGTAACTGATATCGGCAGGCTCTTCTTGCACAAGCCTACCATTGCTTAAATGTGTCAAGCTGGTATGGGTAATACCACTTTACCATATTCCATACCGTATCAAATCGTATATTGAATCTCTCTATATAGTGGTCTAGATTTTGTATCTATACATCGGTCTTGTAGAAAGAAAAAACGAGGTAGTGTGACCAGGCAAATTTATGTTGCAGAAGTGAACGGCAGAGTCGGGAAGGGACGCCTTAGACGAAAGTTTATCGACCAAATTGGAGATATATTGAAAATGAGCCAGATTAAGTGTAACGGAGGGGCGAGAGGTGTGTCAGGATCGTGCCAAATGGCAGTCACTAGTCTCTAGCTACCCCTTCTGTGACAGGCGGTGGACAGGAGTGTTTATGTATGTATGTATGTATGTATGTATGTATGTACCTATATACGATTAGTATCGCCCAGTGTCAAGTCCGCGCAGACTGCTATAAAGCAGCGCTGGACGCGATTCGCATACGCACCTGCACGCTATAGAACGGTCCGACGATGTGCACGGTGGTCTCGTGGTCGGGCTGCGCGCCGGCCGGCGGCGGCTGCTCGGGCAACTTGATCAGCGAGCCGGTTACGCGCTGCAGCTCGCGCACGTTCTGACCGCCCTTGCCGATGATGCGGCCCACCTGCGAAGACGCTACCACGATCTCCACCGTCAGCCGCACATCGTCCGAGCCCGACATGAAGCCCTCTTCACGCATCTTTTCGAAGATCAAATACTGCGCCTGAAAATTTACCACACAGCAATTAATTCCTAATTAATTTATGAAGTTACAATTTTTTGTTAATTAATCAATTATTTACAATACAAATAATCCACTACAAGTTGTCATGAATTCTTTTAAAATTATTCCAGTAATACTACAACATGCTCCTTTAGAACATAATATAATTAACCTTTAAGTATGGACGTGGAGTCTCACAGGCTCCGCACGATTCGCCAGTTTTTGGTTTGACCCCCTTCCCCCCGCTCCATGCACCCGAGCGTCTCAGTAGCTTTACGTTTTAGACATGGGCAATGTGTATCACTTAAAAGAAAAGATTGATATGTATCTTTTGATCACTTGGATATGTATCACTCTTTTATATCTTTATATCCTTATGTATCAGTAGATCAAGCTCGCTTTCACGACACGCATCGCATTACGTTGCGTTTGCTCACTCAGCGTGGCTCGCTTCGCTCAACTCAATCCTATCAGTAAGAGTGATAGATAAGTACCTATAGAGCTGTTTGCATTTTGCTTGGTCGTAACATTGTGTATCTTTCTGATATATTTGGCTGTTGTTTCTTTCTAGGTATGTATTTGTTATGATTAAAAAATTAAAGTTTTCCTATTTCTCAGACATGCAGGTTTCCTCACGATGTTTTCCTTCATCGCCGAGCACGTGGTAAATCAGCACTTAAAATTGCAATTAACAATTTCATTGGTGCCGGCGGGGATCGAACCCGGGTTGCTCGAGTACTGTGAAACTTACAGCGAGCGCTGTTATTGTTATGATTGATAAATATTAATAGGCACTTATTCGAGAAATTAACTTAAATTTTTAGTTTAAAATAATAATTAAATTAATGATTAACGTAAATAACGTAGGTAGGGTAGGTATTGTTTGTATTAATTTGTAGAAAATATATATTATATAGTTTCGGCTTCTTGAAAACATGCCTGCTGCGTTGGCTGTCTTTTAGCTACGAGGGGTACTGTGGGGAAGGTTACCACAATTTCCAGCGGGTACATTTAGCATGTTCGCACAATAAAGGCATTGCTTGTTTTTGGTTCTACTTCCTCAAAATGATTCCACACTGCGATTCGTTTTCGTGAACCCATTTTTTTTTTATTAACAAAACACTAACTGCACAAAATTATTTACACTTAAAATAAATGAAGCATTCACTAACTGTACGTACAGAACAAAAAACACTTTAAACTATTTACACTGAATGTCTTATTTACCTACATTTAAATTAAACAGTCACTAAGTGTACAAAATAACTTCAAATATTTTTCTATTCGATGCAATTAACGCAAACAATATTACTCTCGTTCCCAAACCGAGATTAAGGTTGAACTAATGAAGCAAACTGATATATTTGTTTAATTTTGTAAATCACAAATCTTTTTTCTACTTTTTTAATGGATATAAACGACTATAAATTTCGATTATAAAACTTTCTTAAAAACTGTGGTTTTATAACTGAAATTAGTTTGCATTGTTTACTAAAAAAATTATAGGCAAAGTACACATAGGTACAGTTCAAACCAGTATAATACTTAAATGTTAACGTACCGCTTAATGACTTTAAGCCCTATGCACCAGTCATAGAGTTATCAATTTACCTTTTTGTGCTAGCGTATTACAGTTTATAATGATCAAACAACTCACTCTCTCCGTTTTGCCAAAGCGCGACAGAACATTCTAAATAGTGACCTGCGAAAGAAACGTCTGTACTATGGACTTTCCGAAATCTTCCTTGAACGACCGACCGTGCCGGCCGAAGTATAATAAAAAGCAGTGTGCGCAATGTGCGACACAGATGTTAGAAAAAGTTAAAAGATGTCTTGAGTGAATAAGTTGTAAAGATATACTGATACAGTGATACATTCGGATGCGGATGGATATAAAGAGTGATTGATGAAAACGGATTGATTCATATCTTTTGTATCTATCTTTCCTGAGTTACCCATCTCTATTACGTTTAGTTCCAAACTACACAGTGCGGGCGGAGGTTACGTCGCTGGATGCAGAACACGTGAGTAATATTCATCGAAATATTGGCTGGAGCCTGTCAGGCTCCACGTCCACTGTTGCCATGTAAAATATTATGATCAATTTTCTCTGTATGTTTTAGATTTTGTTATGTAAAATGGCTGAAAATATTAAAGCGAGTTGTTCTAGTGCAAAACAACCTCAGAGAAAAAAAATGCGACTAGATGATCCATCTTTCGAAGACGAAATAACTTCTTTATTGTTGGCTTTGGATCAGTCAGACGATGAGGTAGATATTGAAAATTGCTTGGTATCTGAGGCGGACCCGACAAACTGTCATGATAGTGATTCAGGTGAAGAGGTCAACGACCTTGAAGATGCAGTCGATAGTGACAATTCAGACGCGCCACTTTCTGAATTACGCACGAACTATTATTATGGGAAAAATCGTTATAAGTGGACAAAGACGCCACCGTCAACAAGAGTACGTATATCTCAACACAATATTATATCAGTTCGTACATCTTCTTCGAACTTGTCAGCCGACTGTGAGAAAGATCCATTCAGTATATGGAACAAGTTATTCGACGATGAAATGCTCCATCAAATTTTGACCTGGACTAATGCAAAAATTTATATCTACAAAACTAAGTTCGCGCGTAGCAATCGACCTGAACTGAACGATTTGGACTTAGTTGAGCTGAAAGCGTTTATTGGTCTACTATTTTATTCTGCTGTTTTGAAGTCGAACCATGAAGACACAAGTTACTTATTCGCATTAGATGGTACAGGCTGTGAGATATTCAGGTGTACAATGTCGGAAACCAGATTTCTTATATTGTTACTGTGCCTTCGTTTCGATGATCCTAATGAACGTGATGAGAAGAAAAAGACTGACAAGTTAGCTGCTATATCCCCCATTTTCAACAAGTTCGTAAGTAATTCGCAACAGTTGTACGAACTAAGTGAATGTGTAACTGTGGACGAAATGCTAGTCAAGTTTCGTGGAAGAAGTCACCTAATATCATACATGCCTAAAAAACCAGGTAAATATGGTCTAGTGATACGAGCATTATGCGACGCTAAGAACTTTTATTTTTATAATGGCTATGTATATTCTGGAAAAGACTCCGATGGTATAGGGTTGACAGTAGAAGAAAAGAAATTCCTAGTCCCCACACAGTGCGTCTTACGTCTAACGAAACCAATCCAAGGAAGTAACCGCAACGTCACAGCTGATAATTGGTTTTCATCTATTGAACTCGTAGATGAATTAGCAAAACGAAAGTTGACGTATGTAGGGATAGTAAAAAAGAATAAAAGAGAGATACCTATCGAATTTCAGCCAAATAAGCGTCGAGAAGTAGCATCTACCTTATTTGGATTTACGAACCAAAAAACGTTATGTTCTTGGGTTCCTAAGAAAAATAGAGCTGTAATACTCATATCTTCCATGCACCATGATGATCAAGTAGACCAAAATACTTTAAAACCCGAAATAATACTTTATTACAACTCTACTAAAGGAGGAGTTGACGAAGCGGATAAAAAATGTTCTATTTACTCGTGTAGCCGCCGTACGCGGAGATGGACAATGGTGTTACTGTTTCGAGTGCTGGATCTAAGTGGCATGAATGCATACATTCTCTACAACATGTATCAATCAAAAGAGGTTGAAAGTGGAGATTTCCTAAAAGAATTGGCTCGTTCCCTTGTAGTGCCGCATATGCAAAGACGTGTTGTAAACACAAAATTGCCGAGAGAGCTGAGGTCAACTATAGCTCGAATATTGGGTAAAGATATGGTAACTGAAGATGTCCAAACACCACCCGTCAGTCAAGGAACTAGAAGAGCATGTAGAATATGTCCCACAAAAAAACATAGAATGACCATTTATGTTTTTGTGGGGTGCAGCAAGCCTGTGTGCCTACAATGCTCTCGCCCTTTGTGCGCTGACTGCCAGTAATTTAGAGATATTATGACTGCTGTCAGAATTTTTGTTTTTCTTTGTCAGAAAGAGCTTTTATGTTTTTTTTTTCGTTTGTTCATTAAGTTAGAGGATAAATAGGTTTTATTTTGTTTTATTGTTAGATTTAGTAAAATTGATTGAGTTAAAATGATAACCCTACCAAAAGTCTTAAAAAGTGCCATGATTGTTAATTTTTCATATTTCTATGATTATAATAAAGAAAGTTGATTACAAATTACTATTTTTTTCTTATTAAAGACCTCTATTTATGAATAGAAAGGCTAAGACGATGTGCGGTAATGTTTTCTAGAAAAAAGTTGCTTTTGAATGTAGTAGCCTGAGAGACTCCACGTCCGCACTAGTGTTGAAAATATATCACGTCCATACTAAAAGGTTAATAAAATAAACTAAGAATACTCTTTAAATCATTCCCTGCGAGAAGGTTCTCATAACTCTTAACAGCATCGCCGCGCGAAATGAACAATGATACCCTTTACGCAAGAAAAGGTCCAGAGCGAGTAACTCTTCAATATTAATTGTTATAGAAGTAATAAATTATAAGTTGAAAAGATAATCATCATTAATTGTCATCTGATTCTATATCATACAAAATTATTATACAGTTTTAAATAAATCTGCTAAATTTTACATAATTGTGTTGTAAAGCAGATGATTAAGCTTAAATTTAAAAAAAATCCATTATATTCATTTAATGCATGCATGTCACAGCCACACATACTGTACTGTACTTTACTTTTACAAATACATATTTATTTTTATAGCCAACCTTCCATTGGGCTTCTGGGCTTCCGACGATGGTAACCTTGCGCTCTTGCTGTGCACCGGCAGCTGCCTCGCCTTGCTTCTCTTGCTCCAGTGGAGCTATCTTCACCGAAGCATTGCTGAAGCGGATAATGTTGCGAATATGGGAGCCCTTGGTACCGATGATTGCACCCACGGCGTTGTTTGGGATATACAAGTACGTGGTTTCCTATTAAAAAAAAAAAAGAGGTAAACAACATGATGATTTACAACGTGAATAAATTTATCGCAATAAGAACTTAAAAGTTTCTACTTAGAATAGTTTATTAATTGTTGAGTATGAACTCAATCTTATACACTTTTAGATTGCAAATAGCAGAACACAATATGCACCAAAGACCCTGGCCTTTGAAATAATGTTGTAAATATTGATTATTATGGTTGTCATAAACCGAACTTTCGTCCTATAAAACAAAATGGAAGGCATTGTTAAGTCCTGACAATCGCGGAATGAGAGATATCATTATGACCGACCTTCTATTTAAACGTTATATATGCGTTCGATGTTTACATATTAAACCACCACCATCGTTTGTTCTTTTAAAATCACTTTTATCTGTTTAACAACTTCGTGACTTAATTAGTAATTTGAACATCAATTCGCATCCTGACACTTTTCATTAAATTTTATTTCGATGACAAAGAATAAGAGGTAATAACTAATGAATTATTATATGGATGCTGATAAGCAATACCATGTCAAGCCACACGAACTTAATTTTGAGAAAATGCCGTCTAAAGATGTCATACCAATTTTCAATAAATTTGTTTGAAAAAAATACGCACCCACCGGTTCTTTTATATTTGATGAAAGAAATAATGGATTGAAAGTAAATTTTTATCATAAAAAGAGAAAATACTGCTAAGTTTTGTAAAAAAATTAGATTTTTGCATATTGCAAAATATGGAATACGCTATATTATTCTAAACAGGAAATTAAGGAACATAACACTATTTTGCTAAATTCTAATTACGGGATTTAATGAAAGTAAATGTATGTTAAGGAGCATAAATGAATAGTGATAAAAGTATATTCTCACTTACAATTTGTTTAAAGTAGTTTTAAATAAAAGTCAGTAAAATAGTGTTAATATTAATATTTATTGATATGAAAATAAAGAAAGCAATTTTTTTAAACAAGCCTGAGGATTAGAAAATTTTATATTCAAGAATAATAATTTTATCCATTCCTCAGACTGATCATTTCTTAGCAAAGTATCTTAGGTAAGCTAAAAATGATAACTTTAAATCTGTCTTATTTTTGTAAACATTTTATTACAGTTAAGTTAGTTAATTAACAGAGATATTTTATTATCACTTTAACTTAAACAACTAAGCGTTAGACTCATTGTTTTTAACAAAATACTATAATTTAGGAACCTACTTAAATGTCATCGACAACTTTAAATCTTATTTTAGTAATCATTTTCTTGAAGTTGTTAGTTAATTAACTGAGGTAGTTTAATATCACTTTAACTTAAATATCTAATGTATTTTAACAGAAGTCAGGACAGGGCTTTTTAAAGATCTTTGAATTTTGAGATCTTTGGGAACATTTTTAAGTATTCATTTAATATTAAATTTCTTCCTGACTAGCCCAATTATTTTCAACTGAGCAAGTGGTTATGTATCCAGAACTTTAATCAGTCTCATTGTTTCTGCATTTTTTTTTACTTAATATTACCTAAAACTAATGTGATCATCGCTTTAACTAATATAGCCAAGAAATTACAACAGATAACATGTAAGTTAACAAGAAAATGCTTAATCATCAATCAAATTTTCTTCATCATCAATAAAACCACCCGACTCAACGTTCCTCAAGAAACTTTAAAATCCTCTTGCATCTGTTGGAATGAGCTTTAACAAATCTTTTAAATCTTTAATTTTGGCAGCTAATAGTTCACGCCCATTCGGGTATCCCAGGGCTGAGCTTTTTTACAGACACACAATTTATATTTTCTACCAATACTAAAAGCTCACTTGGCATTTATGGAATAGTTTTTCTTTTTGGCTTCTATAACACTACCCTGTAAAACCGCGCACCTTGCTTCATAAGAACCAGAACTCCAAAATTTTCTTTTATACGCTGATCAATAGACAATTTTTCCGTACATGTTAAACGACATCTACAATTGCTGCTGTTAAATTTCTTCGCACGAAATTTTTTCCTTTCGCACTGAAATAATCCTGATTGGTATTCGTTTTTTCTTTCTTTTGATGCTGAAATAAAAGGGTAGAATTACATAGACCAGACGTATATATAGTTCTACCATTTTATTTTTTAGGTCTACCATTGTATTTTTGGGTATATAATCAGGGTCTTCAATGTTTTTACGATTCTGATCAATGGAATTTAAAATATTAACAGTGGCTTGTACATGTCTTACACACTAGTAGGACGAGGGTCATTTTCTTAAACAGGACTAGAAATATTCTCATTCGAATGCTTCATTTTATCAAATGTGTTTGAACAATTTTTGTCATTTCCATTAGTTAATGTCTCTATTGGTTACCATTTATCGTCGTCACTAACGTTCGAACCATTTTCTTCATTGAAATTAGTAACTTTCTTAGTTTGTTGGTCCTTATTATTATGTTCATCATTTACAAACTTCAGTTTCTTTTCTTCAATTGACGGAAACAAAAGGTTAATTGTTTCAAAAGAGCTTGATGCACATAATTAGGCTTTTGGAGAATGGCTAACTCAAATATTGATGAAATAGTATCCATTGAAATATTATCCGCTAGTGTATAAATAAAGAGATCACAGCATCTGGAGTTTTGTAATTCTATAGAATAATATAAGTCTCGATCAGTTCTAACATTAGGTACAGGGATATCTTGAGGTTTATTTGTGTTGGCATGTACAGTATTTTTATTCAAATCTTTTGTATTGCAATTCGCAAGATTGACTAGTAATTGACTTCTTGATTTTGGCAGTGGCATTATTCTACAAAAAATAAGGAAAAAGTTAGTAGTAGTGGTGGACGTCTATGAAAATAATACCTAAACAAGTCGATATAACTCATGCAATTTTTTTAGATAGCGATTTTCCCAATATAATTTCAAGGTACTTAAAATATAAATTATTTCTCGTAAAAGCTAACTTACAATATGCAATAATATGTTAAGCACCGTAAACTGCACTATAAGTTTTACTCAAAAGCGTTTTGTATTAAGCAATAATCAATCAAGTGGTTTATCATACCTATTTATTACAAAAGTTACAATAAATCAATATGATAGGACCAAATAACATTAGTTTAGTATAAGAAAAAGCTTTCCTTTGATATATAACAATACAAATATTTAATTAACTCGTTTCCTAATTTATATCGGCAGCCTAACCTATTAAGAAAATAACAGAATAATTACTGACTTACCTTGATGAACCCAGCGTAGATTACATACTATTTACTAAAACAACAGTTTGTACAACTAATCAACTAATTACAATGGGAATATCAGTTATTTTTTCAATTTTTACGTAAACTTCTTTGTTTGGCGCTGCCTGAAGAACGAAATAACATTTCGCAACACAGTATCAAGTCTCATAACATCTTTATAGTGACAACAGATGGAGATACTTTGAGTATCGACCATGTTAAGGAGCTTAACGGTGTTTTGGCAAATGTTGTATAAGTGATTTCCCATTTGTTTTATGATATAATTTATTTTTTTCCGTACTTATTTGTTTTAAGTAACTTAAAACTCTTTTGCATAATGTTTAATAAGTAACGCGTTATCAGAAAACATCAATATCTCTAAATTTGACCTTTTGTGGGTTGACACATTATTGCTTATCAGCATCCATATATTATAAATGTTATTTTATTTTACCGTTGCGCGACAAGGAAATAGATCAGCTTCTCATTGAGTCTGAAGAATAAGATGCTGAGGATGATGAGATTTTCATTAATTATCTTGACTTATCAAGAGCCTAAAGTAGATGGAGCTTCTTATGAGCATAGCAAAAAAAATGTTGATGAGAATTCTTCTAGCTCGGAAAACGAACTCTAGTAGCTCGAAACATGAGGATGAGGTTTATGTTTCTTCTACCAGCAACTGTTTATGTAGAACTCGAGGTCCCTCAACTCATATTCGAGAAGTTTGGGAGCGAAGCGAAGCGAAAACAAAAAGTCACAGTGCAATGCGCTCTCGTGTACGTACTCGTGGTGGAGCTAGTTTCTAGGAGTAGTGGACAAGATCCTGCCCCTTGGACAATATCAACAAAGAAGTTCCTGCTTTGCTACAGCAGGTCATATAATCAAAATCATCTATGACAGTACTTTTATGATCGACATATACATCGACGATAACTGACATGAGTAAGAACAATTTGCTGTGGAAAGTTTGCCCATTACGGGACAGAATTCTTTAGGTATGCCATGCACAGATTCCAGAGACCAAATATTTCCACCAAATATTTTTATTAGATGTGATGATCATCCCATTTACGATTGCTTGTCCGATGCGTCAATATTGCCCTGTAAGTCGAATCCCACTGTACTTAAAGCCTTTATTCTTGCCAATCTAAATGGCTTATACCCGGTTTATACCTGTTTGTGATATATTAGTATATCAAGGCAAAAACTCGCAGTGGTGAGTATAATTTAGGTTAGAGCGTAGTTTTAACTTTAACAGAGACACTAGTGCCTGGGTACATAATATACTGTGAGTGATTCTTCACAAACATCACGTTGATGGATGAGCTGCACAAACAAGGTTGTAAATGTGTTGGCACTGTGATGACCTAAGACAATTTGCAGACAGACAATTAGGAAAATAGGGTAAGGGCATCTACAATATTCTTGTTAGAGAAGATCAGCGGATAGGACTAACCAAATGGTATGATAACAAGCCCATTTTATCATACTATTTGGTTAGCATACCATAAAGTAACAATTAAAATAAATAATTAAACATTTAAAAAACAATTAAAAAACAAGTAACAAAAAAAATTTTGTCAGTTGGTGAATAAAAATAAAGCAAATCAATGGTAACTGTTTTTTTTCTTCTTAAAAAAAATGTTAACTTACTATACAGAGCTACTACATAGACCGGGTGTTTTTTATAAAGAATAAAAATATGGATAATTTGACTTAGTGTAAATACTTCTTTTCTTATTAATAAACAATGTTTGTTCTAGCAAAACATTTATAGCATAGTCTAAAATAGTTTAAACCGGTATTGAACATTCAGGACTTAATAACGATATTCGTAATACCCAGGACTTAATAATGAACGCCATTTTGTTCTTTGAGAATGTACCAGGTAGATTATCTTTTCTGTTTAACTAACACAGGTTGGTAAATAGAAACAACGGCAGAAGCAATAAATGGTTATTACGATTTTTAGCTGATTAAGTGGTTTTGTGTACTAAATACATTCAGTCAAAAACTATCGGGAATGGATGATATGTTTTTGGGAAAAAGTATAATAAGTATATACAGGCAAAGAGAGCCCTCTGACGATATTTTATTGCAGTCAAAATTGAACTACTAGCCTCTCCTACAAATTGAATCCGAACTAATTTGCTATATAGTTATATTACATACATATTTAAATTATGTTTTTATATACCTACTGAAAGAGTTCCTACTTTTTTGTAATGCCAATTTAGACTTTTAATAATAATAGTAGGTAAATAGTTTCAATAAGTACAGTTGTATTTCTGAGATAGTAATATATAAAAAAGGGTATTTGCAATTAAACAAAAATGACAATTTAGTATGACAATTATTTCATTTTTTATTTTTTACTATAATATTATGCTGGTTGCAGTATAATAATTATCATATTTATCGACTGATTTGATAATTATCATATTTATCGATTGATTCGATAATAACATCACTAATAATTTTTGGTGCACTTATTTTTATTATGTAAGTAAATTTCATTTTATTTTTCCAAAGTAGGGACATCTGTGAAGCCATAAGACCAACTATAAACAATTTTTATTTTTTTGGAAACATTTTAGATGGCGCCACCATCCATTGAATTTTTGTGGTTCAAGGCAACTGTCTTAAGCCAGGTTTTAGGTTCCGAATTCAATTTTGTTTTGTTCTCTTGTTCTTGTTAGATTGGCACAACTGTTTTGTTCCATTTTGACGCGGATTTTGAGTTACATGTTATTTACCTTTATCTTGTATGTATTGCGAATTTCATAATGGACAAAAACATCGAACAAAAAGTTTGTCTTAAATTTTGCATCGCCAATGGAATTTCGTGTTCGGGAGTCACTGAAAATGTTACAGAAGGCTTACGGTGAATCGACTTTATCAAAAACACGTGCTTATGAGTGGTACAAAAAGTTCAAAAACGGTTGAGATGTGATGGAAGATTTGCCTTGCACTGGTAGACCATTGTCTACAACTGAAGTTAACATCTGAAATTAACATCACAAAACTGAAGTAAATAGTGACGAAATCCTCATTTAAGTTTTAGAATGAATCCGAAATTTGTGTCTCACGAGACGATCTGTACATGCATGTACTTAGTCGGGTCATAAGTTCTGTCAAAACCTTATTTAAAATTTTTGAATACTGGCTAGACAAACTTCACTAATTTTAAAAATTATAACATTTGCACTTGCCGAAAATAAAAAATACATTAATTTTCATTCATTTTCAAAAATGGAGTGGTCGAAGAAAGAAGATAGAGGAGTAGCGGTTATCGCGTAGCACCGTTGTGGTAACGCGCCAAAAGAGATTTTCAATATTCTACAAAAATTTAAAATAATCATACGATTTGTTTATCACACTATCAAACGATTCACTGAAGATTCAATCTTCGAAGATCGTAAGAGGACCGACCGACCTCGTACAGTTAAGGACACCCGAACGAAATCCTGTTCGTACACAAAAAAACTCTTGCTCTTCAGATGTGTTTAAGCAGAACCATGGTCAAAAGAGTAAAATGAAGACTTAGGACTACGGGCTTATCGTAAGACCGGGCGTTTTTTGAACGAGCGTTTGAAAAACATTAGATTGGATAGATCCCGCGCTTTGTTACGGCGGTAGGCGGAAAATATGCCGCGAAATTTTGTTTTCGGGTGAAATTTAGTTAACATCGAATTTAAATCGCCCATAGCAGTGAAGAAGCCAGCACGCGTATTCTGCGGGTTTAACGAGGACATTATCCTTCGTCACTCATGGTTTGGCTTGGAGTCTCATCTCATGGAGTCCAAAGTACCGTCCTAACAAACATAGTGGGAACCTCTTTTACAAACAATGTTCAAAAACAGACATTGGATATTCCAACAGAACTCTGCACCAGCTTATAGGGCACGAAGCACTAAACCTCATCAGAATTTGGTATCTCTGCGAGCATCTTTGGCTAAAGCAGCGGCAGAAATAGATATAATGTGGTGCGTGCTGCGATTGATGATTGGCCGCGTCGATTAATGGCATGTATACAAAATATGGGAGGGCATTTTGAATAATGTAAATAAAATTGTATTCTAAATTACCTTTCATTTCATATATAATTTCCATATACTTATGAAAAAGTGTATCATTAATTAAAAGTTCGTGACAGAACTTATGACCTGTCTAAGTATATACGGTATGAAACATGTTGCCGCTCGGCTAGTTCCAAAAGACCTGAATTTTCGCTGAATAGTCGCTGAGGGCATGCTAGAACAAATTAATTCCAACCCAACATTTATGAAACGCATTTTTACTGGTGACGAAACGTGTGTTTACGAGTTTGACATGTAAACCAGTGAAACAAGCTTCAGAGTGGCGTGGCGCTTTTCTAACTGAACCGAAACCGAAAAACCACGCTAATCTTGTTTACAATCGCAGTGTTGTGCACTCGGAATTCTTAACGGGAGGTCAAACGGTAAATAAAGAATATTATTTCAATGTTATGCGGCGTTTAAGAGACAAAATTAGACGAAAAAGGTCAGATTTGTGGAAAAACAATTCTTGGATTTTGCACCACGATAATGCACCTTTGCACAAGGCCATCATTATGAACTAATTTTTGACCAAAAACTCAACAAATACCATCGAGCAACCACTTTTTCATTCACCAGATATGGCTCCAGCAGACTTATTTATTTTTCCTAAACTCAAATTACCACTTAGTGGCACCAGTTTTCAGTCGGTAGAAGACAAAGAAGAATTCGCAGCGAGAACTGAACTCAATTCCGGAAAAAACGTTTACAAAATCTCTTGATCATATATACATACTTTGAATATGATAAATTGAAGTGTCTTAGCTGGTTTATGCCATTTACAAAATTTCATTACTATTATACAACGGTTTTAAAGCGTTTTTTTTGTTTGCAAATGCCTTTCCTTTATATTATAGGTACTCAAAACTCTCACCTGCGAGTCACCGGCGCCCTGCTGCGCGCCACCACGGCCGGCCAGCGGCGCGTATAGCGGCGGCGGATAGGGCGGCGGTGCACTGCAGAAGCCGCGTCCTGTTGACATCATCGCCATCGGGTGTAGTCCCGGGAACATGATACTCTGCGGCGCCAGCACCTGCAAGAACCACACAGCGTTATAATGGTGTTATGCGTGGCAGAGCCATGCTGCAGTTATAATAATCATGCTTGTATAGCACGAATGAATGGGTCAACTCAACCGGGGAAGGACCACGTTCTTATAAAATACCAGCGGCAAATAACAGATTAATGCTGTTTCGTATGGTGGGTGTATGGAGAATTTGAAACCCTTTTTACTGGAAACGAAGCATTCCATCGAAGTCCTCAGGGGTGACAACGCATCTGCATTTTGATACTTAATCGAGGATTTCTTAATCGAGGAGGTAAAAAGTTATGAGGTAACACACATTATAAAAGAAAACATACAGTCGAATTGAGTACCATCTCCTTTTTGGAAGTTGGCAGAAAATAGGTACGTAGGCCTTTCTGTTAAATAATCTGGTTCCCTGACATGACAGCTTACTAGGGTTGACAAAATTTTTGGCTTTGATAATTAATTATATTTTTATGGGGTATTTTGTAACACGTTGTATAATAAAAAAAAATGGTAATAAGATGATAACCTCTATATCCGACATTAATTCGTGGTCATTTGTAGAATACTTAGTAGCAGAATATTTTATCCATACAAAAAACATGAATGTGATACATTTGTTATGGAACTGACAATGTGAAATTTGTATCGCTTTATTATTGATATCTGCCAAACTATTTTCATTAAACAAAATGTATTGTTAAACGGCCGTCTCTGTGTATTAGTATACTTTCAACCATAATCGTGAAACAATATCAGAATGCAGTGTTATTCAGTGGTTTCTTGTAATAACCGAAGCCAACACTAAGTCTTTGTAGATCATGGAATCACCATATGTAAGAACAAGTATTTTACTACTTTATCTTTAAAATCATGAAAAACAACAAATCATAAAATATTTTTTTGCGTTATTTTTGTTTTCAAATGTCACTGCGACGGTACTATTTTGTAGTCAATACATTGCTCCTTAACCACTACTTATGAATGTCGCTAAGCGACTGAACAAGCAATGTAAATATGACAAAACGATACTTTATTTATGGGGATGCATCGTGTATAGTGGCAGTCTCATACCGGTAGGTGAAGTGTAGGGCGACCCCCCACGAGATGGAGTGACGACCTGGTAATACATGCAGGAAGTCGATGGATGCAGGTGGCTCAGGACCGTGCTTTATGGCATTCCTTGGGGGAGGTCAATGTTCAGCAGAGGACTTATGAAAGGCTATAATGATGATGATGATGATGATCGTGTAGTACGGCCACTGTATCTTGCGATGAGTTAGTGTTGTGCTTGTGCAGATCCACTAACGTATGCTATCGACAACAATGTCGATTGGCGAATTGCTATTATAGTTTATTCTTTCAATTTGTCAACCGTTTCAGCCCGGTGGGAAAACTGATGTGACATAATGGTATTTAATTATTTTGATTATTTTCACCGTTTACTACACTGAATTCGTAACTAGCGATCATAAAGTAAGTTGCTTAAATAATTAGGTTAATCATCGGTGAAGTGTTTTGGGTTTAATTATAGTATATTATGCCTTATCTTCGTGCTAATTCCATACTTTTATGTTTTCAAAAGCTTCGAATGCGTTATTATACCAAATTGACATGGTACAGAATTCAGATAATATTATAATAGTGACTTTTGCTGGACTGGTTCCCTACAAAAACTAGTACCATATGCCAAAATACCTAGTTTTTCAATACGCTATGACAATCTAAACCAACATAACCGGATTTTTTTATTGTATCTGTTAGGTAGGTTAGGTACTTAATAATTTACATTTAGCTACATATTGTTTATTTTTATTATATAATTTCCTGTACATATCGCTTTTTATTTATTTTATTTTAAATTATAGTGCAATTTTAGTATAAATGGAAGAGAATCGATAACTTTCCAATTTAGTCAATCACTAATGTATATTATGTAAAAGGGTGTTTCGCGCATTTCGTGCAAATTCCACGACATTTCTAAATGGCTAATTTATTGTCGAATTACTTCGTTTCTTTTTATAATATCTGTAATATATATATAATACTTAAACTTTTAGTGGTTTCTACCTTTCGTGTATAGATAAAAATGAAATTACTATCATATCAATAATCGGAATGATACGGTAATGAGAACGTCAAGGATGGGAATGATATTGAGTCGTTAAGTGAAGGGATAAGGATGTGAAGGTAATGAAAATAAACAGAAGGCAATGATATAATAAAATATGCATTTTTAATATTTAATTAACGTAATTGCTGTACTATTTTTAAATAGATATTTAAGGTTCATATTATTTAACATAGTCAATAACATCATTTCTCCTTGCGTTTATTAGAAATTAAGTCATGTTTCTTTATTTATATTAACCATAATCTTTGGAAATACGAAATCAACAATCAAAAGATTTTTTAGCAAAAAATAAAAATCAGGCTTAAACAAAACTAAACTTATATTTCTAAATATGCTGATAAACCTGAGAATACTAGTGAATGTTACATTACACATAAATTAATGAGCATTTGCTACTTTAACTGACGAATGTTCCCTAGCATTATCAACGAAATGTTCGTACCGACATTTGTCTTCATACGTTGTTCAATTTGACAAAATTTAAAAGCTGTGAATGCTCACTTTTACAAGTGAATGTTTAGGTTTATCACCACATTTATCTTTAAAATAAAAAAAAATAATTTTTCTGATCTATTTGTCGCAAAAGTCAATCAGTCTTTTTTCTGTTCACTTTCGTCTTTATTTTCTTTGGTGTTCTGTTCTATATTTCTATCCTTAAACATAATGAAGTTCTCAAAATTTGTTTGATAAGTATTATTTTGTTTTTTTTATTTTAGCAAGATTCTCCTTATCAATATAAAATTTTCTATTTGCCCAATCAGTCACATTTATATCCGATAGTATTTTGACTTTCTGCGAATACGGTCTGTTTGACGATTGATCTTTGAAACTAATCGGTTGATCAGATTGAGTAACTGAAAAACCTGTGTTGCTTATTTCTTTAGAAAGAGAAAACTCTGAAATTGGTTAATATTGACGTTTTCGTAGGATGGAATGTTATAATGCCCAATATGTTTACCGTGACTGCAAATAACTTTATTGCCACACTGAAAACAACTTAGTTTTCTTAAACTTATTTTAGAGCACCCAAATGACCAAAGAGCTTGGTGCACCATCATTGTACCTTTAGCTGCTTTTAAGACTGTTGGAAAACTTCTTGCTTCAATGTCATTTCTCGTTACAATGCGAATGTCAATCTTCACTCTAGGTCTAAGACAGGCTAAGAATGATTCTAATGAGTCCACGTCACCGCCAAAGCGGACTACTTGATCTGCTGTTCGTTTGAGAACAGCACCAACTCCGTCTGGCGCCCCTTTGCCATGTCCAGCTTCTAAGTAGTTCCAGGTCACAGATTTCAGTTGTGGAAAATCACGGTACAGTTGGCTGATCATATAAAAAATAAAGCGATTTCGATATTGGCTGGTTGGACTATCGGAAATAAAGTGTATTGTATCAATTTGGGTCGAAATCTCCATCACATACCCAATGGTCGGTATCAAATGTGCCCAAATAGCCGCAGCATCGTGTTGGGTGCATTCACTTACAGTGCAAAAGCTGTATTGTTTTTGAATTCCAACTTCTGGGTCTATCTAGTAGATAACACATGTGTGCAGTGATATTTGCATTCTACTACCACCAAAGTGAAAACTCTGAATTTCTTCGTTATATTTAACGCAGTAGTTTTCGCTGAAGTCGACGTGAATCACTACTTCTTGCGGAGTAAGATTATTCTTAAGCTCTTTAATATTTCTATATTGAATCAAAATATTTGTGCAGTGTTTCATGTAGGTTATAAGAGTATTTTCTAATTGAAAAATAATGTTTCGTGGAAAATCATAAAATGTTTCTTTTTTTGTTACTAATTTTGTTTTCTCCTCATTTTTTACATAATATTTTACAGAGCAATTACTCCACTGATAATATTTAATTTTTTTGTCATTATGGAATTCGGCGTAATCTAAATTATTCAATTGACATTTTTCACATGTTCGATTCAAACAATTTTCATCGTAAATGTTGCAACATAAGCTTTCTAAAACACCTGTCCCGTTAGATTCTTTTAGTATTTTAGTTGTGTTAAGGCATTTTATCAACAAGTCTACATTAATATGAACTTTGCAAGCACACGTATTCCTACTGGACTCTTTTGGAAATAAAACCTAAAATGGACGATATTTACAAAAAGTTTGAAACGTTACTTTGACATTAGAATTATTTGTAAACTTTTTGTATAGATTAGACAATGTGTCCGTTAAGTATCTTTTCTGCTTCCTTATTTGGTTTTTAGTTATATATTCTTTTTTATCAGCTGCAATTCTAGTCATCTCGTCATCGTCAAAAAACTCCAAAATTAGTTGCTCTTTCAAGCTTTCACTTTTAGCTATTTTATTTTCTTTTTTATTTCTTACTGTGAATATTTTTGTTTGTGTCAAGAGCTTATATTTTTTAAACTTTTCTTTTTCGGTCATAACCACACTAGAAAACTCTGTCTTATCTTTTTTCCTCAAGCACTTGTACCCTTCACCAACACTTCTTGAAAGTATTTCACCAAATATTAGTCTCTTTTTAATTTCTTCACGCTTTTTTGTATCTACATTTTCTACTAATTGTTCTACTTTTTCTTCAATAAACTCTATACAACACTTTTCTAATGGCATCTTTCTGTTTCCTTGTTTTTTCTATTTCTTGTTTCAAAATGCCTATTTCTTTTTTATGTAGGTAACGAACCTTTCTCAGAAGAACATCTTTCTTTAGGCACACTTGACAAGAATTACTATTACCGAAATCCAAACGATTTAGAGATGAATTAGGTTTGGGGCTTGGAGCTGGTCGAGTGAGAGGATCTTGTTCAGCTGGAAGTACTTCAGTGTCACTATTTGGTGGAGAATTATCTAATAACAACTGTTGAATAGCTTTCTCTTTTTTTCTTTCATAATGGCGTTTTGAATTAACTCTCCATTTCTTCCTTTGAACTCTCAATTGTCTAGGTGTCATATCTTTTACAACCACGGGTGGGACTAGAACCCGCGACGACAAGGTTTGCAAAGTGAAAATGCACAGTAAAAAAAAATAATAAATTGACATAAAAATATTCTAATTGCCATCGTTTTGACCTCATTATCATCGATATAAAAAACGACGGTAAACGAAGGCAGTGAGGAAGAAGGTAATGAGGTTTTAATAACCTTCATCCAATTTTTTTCCTAAAAATATCAATAGTACGAATCCCATGCTTATCCTAATTTACGAATATATAAAATAGAATTGATAATGAATTACATATTAAACAAAATCATTAATACTCACTTAATAATAATGACGATAGAAAAGAGGACCGTCCCAAAATAATCACCTCCTGCGATACTTTACACGTAAATATTTTTTTTCCACAAAGAAGCGTGAACCTTCTACGATGTTTGCTGGCTGACTGAGACATGTGCGGGGCAGCGGGGCGTAGTATGGCGGTATTACAACATTCAAGGCCATACGCCGACTATAATTTAGATTTTCATCAAAACCGATGGTAATCAGATTTTTTTTTGTTAAACATTTATGTAATAAAATTTCATTATATCGTGGAGTTATCGTTATTTATTTTGGGTGTAAACGTTGTGCTTTTTAATGAAATTTCATAGTATGGTTATTTTTTTATATTTAATATTGATATTTTTGGTTAAAAAACAAATTTATTTAGGAGAGTAGTAAATGGACGGCGAAGAAAATGAGAATTATTGAAGTTTATTACTTATAATTTACTTATTACTTCATTTTGATCTGTAAATATTACGTGCATGTAAGCATAACCTTATAATATTTAGATTCCTTTATAAGAAATGTAGATATTTAATGAAAAAATAAAGACTTTTCTCCTGGACGTGTAATGTGCACGAAAAATGAGAAACACCCAAAAAATGGCTTTTGCACATCACAACGATAGCGCCCGATATTATTGTGTGAGTAAGTAGTACGGTGCATAGGAAATGCACGCTGTGTATGTAGAGATACGGTTTATAATTGATTGTGTAGTACGTTCTGATTTATAAAATGCCAGTGTGTGTGCGCGACTGCGTATATTATATTGCTTTTACTCATCTGCAAGTGTAGTAGTAGGCGGGTGGTAGGGGCTAACTGGAGACACTTATCTATGGTTACAGTGCTAGTTAATTGGGTTTTTAGTTGTAGTCAAAACAAGTCTTGGTGAATAGTCAAACTGAGAAGATGACAGCTCGAAATCAACACAACGAAACTTTGAACGACCACCAATTGGCGGCATAAATTGTAGGACAACAATTGGTCAAGTCATGTTACCTTGGAAACAGGTTCAATGATATTAAACTATTAGCACTAATCCCTAAACATGCCGTTTAGAGCACGGAAGCGCTAATTGCTAAATCTTTCATAGTCCATAAGATTCTATAAAGTACTTGGGAAAATAGAAATGTTTTAATTGTACTTATTATATAAGTAATGCTCTTTTCATCCATACAAATAAATAAAATTGAAGTCTGTTTGTAATATTAAAATAACAGCTTTTTACTAAATGCATATGATATATACGGTAATTATAACAAAAACACAATTTTTAAAATTTTTGTCTGTCTGTCGATCTGTTTGTCGTCTGTCTGTTTGTTCCGGCTAATCACCGAAACGGCTGGACCGATTTCGACGGGACTGTCACTGCCAGATAGCTGATGTTATAAGGAGTGACTTAGGCTACTATATTTTAGAAAAAGAATTAGGGTTCTGCGCAACATAATTAAATCCCTAAATTACACGCGGACGAAGTCGCGGTGAACAGCTAGATAAAAAAAGATGCAAAAATATTGAAGTAGGTTACTTTAATAAAAATAAAATGAGAACATCATCAATGTAGTCAAAGTCAATTAAATACGCATTATTAAGGATCTCAAATAGTACTGGTCACATCTAGATCAAATTTATATGGGACCAAAGTAGAAACACCAGCTTTCAAATAAAGAATTTTCAGAATCGGTTTACCTAGAAAAAAGTTCAGAGGTAACACAAAAAAAAAGACAGTCGAATTGAGTACCTCTTCCTTTTTTGAAGTCAGTTAAAAAAACACTTGACGGGAACTTATGGCAGTAATCATTTTACGTAAAAGAACGACATACGAGGGTGTTAACCCTTAAGTGCATAGGGGGCGTGTATCGCGGTGCAACGCTTCGTTGCCTGAAATAATCGTCGAGTGTTGTTGCTCTTTCTATGAACCGTTGGCCGTTTAGCGCCATTTTCTATCAGGGCCATTGTAACTTCATATTTTTAAAGACTAACAACAAAGTTTTGTATAGCTATTTTAAACAAAATGTATATCTATAACATAAAAATGAATCGCTGAATGTGTTGCTAAGCGCAAATTTCGAGAGCAGCTGAACCGATTTCGCTAATTCTTTTTTTATAATATTCCTTGAAGTACGAAGATGGTTCTTACGGAGAAAAAATTAAAAAATTGCCTAGTCTAAAAACAACACTTTTCTATATTCCCATACAAAAGATTCGTAATAATACTTAAAAAAGAATTTGAACTTTAATACCATACCATAAAGTTTAAGTGTTAGTGGAGGGGTTCCGAGAAGGCAAAACAATTGAGTGACGTTAGTATCGTATAAATATTAATGTCAATATTTATACACACTGGCAGATAGCTGATGTTGATAAGGAGTAACTTGGGCTGCTTTCATTTTAGGGTTCCGCGAAAAATAACTCCACGCGGGCGAAGTCGCGGGGAACAGCTAGTATATATATATATATATATATATATATATATATATATATATATATATATATATATATAAAATTACACAAAATACATTCCTTTGTGAAAATGAAAATTAAATAGTAGTTATTAAGTCAAAATTTTAAGTTGGAACAAAATCAACATACCTGCAGATCATTTTCGTAACTTTGGCGCAATTTTGCTGAAATTTGTGACTCCGCTTTGGCCATATTCTCTATTGTTCCCTTCACGGTTATAATCCGTTCCAGGTTGAAGCTATTGATGTCGTTAATGGACGACACTGTTATCTTGGTATCAGTCTCCTGCATGATTCTCTTGATGGTGTTACCACCTTTTCCTATTATACGCCCGATAAGATTGTTGTGGGCCAGTATTTTGAGACAAATTTCACTGAAATTCAAAAGGCAACATTATAGTAAGGTAGAAGACAAGAAACTCAGAATTCGAGAGGACGTCGTCGACCGTACCACTCACCCTTTATTAGTGTTGTTAGCCTCCTGCTGCATGACTTCAAGTATACGTTTGCAGGCGTTGGTGCAGTTTTCCGGGTTTCCGTAAATGGTGATGGCCTTTTCCAGCGAGCCAACGTTATCCTTGCGGTGCACGTCAACGCGCGCACGTGACTGCTGCGTGATGAGGCGGATGGTGCTACCCTGGCAACGTATACCGGAATATCAATAATAAGTATCTTATAGAAACAATATAACTGGAGTTTCGTATGTTGTTTAAGATTCAACATTGATTAACACAAATTAACAAGAATCAGCCTTTGTGTGACGGAACGCCGCCCCGCCTTATTTACCACGAGTTCATGGCTCGAACGTCGATCATGGCCTGTACGCCGCCACCGAATGGCAACGATATATAAAGTTCTATTGAGAATCAAGCATTCTCCCTAAGCACTTGGGGCAAAGTTCTATAGATTCTCTATAGAACTTTGCCCCACCCAAGTGTGGTGTGTACACGAATGCCGTATATGCAGCATTTTTTTCTACTTTATTTCTTCATCCAAAATACATAATTTGAAGTCTCTAGAACTTGCATTTTTTTTTAACTGGACTTTAATAATTACAATTACATTATTTTTTAGAACAGCATTCGTTGCAGTTCACTGTAATATATACAAATAAATAAAATTGAAGTGTCTTTGTAATGTCAAAATTACAGCTTTTTAGTAAATGCATATGAATGTAGGTATATACGGTACTAATAACAAAAATACAATTTAAAAGTTTTTGTCTGTATGTATGTTTGTCTGTCTGCCTGTCTGTCTATCTGTCTGTCTGTCTGTCTGTCTGTTTCGGATAATCTCCGAAACGGCTGGACGGATTTTGACGGAATTTTCACTGGCAGATAGCTGATGTAACTTACTTATTTTAGAAAAAGAATTAGGATTCCGTGCAAAAAAAAATTAAAACCCCCAAAAAACACGCGGGCGAAGTCGCGGGGAACAGCTAGTTTCAGAATATAAATTGACAGGCGCTAATGATATATATAAATAAGAATTTAAGGAGCATAATAATATACTGATCAGTAACGTTGGAAAAAGGGTTCTCGTATATAGGATCTGAAAGGTCCTTACACAATATAATACTAGCACCACCTGTTTTTCATAAAATGTAAGTCCTAGTCATGTATACGTATTTACAAAATTATTTTTTAGATACATATTATTATGACATGTGTCTGAAGAAGTTGTAAATATTTACAGATTAGTAACTAATTTTACGACAACGGCAGGACCATAAATTATCAACTATATAAAAAAGCTATAAATCTAAATATATATATATATATATATATATATATATATATATTGCAAAGAGCTCATGTTGAAAGAAGAGTTAAGATTGTAAATTGAAATGAGGACGCACCTCAACATGTATTTATCAAAATGTCCGTAGTAATTAGCAGTAAGTCAATAAGTAGGCGTGATCGAGTCCGTATATTAATAAAACCATAAGTCTTCAGCAAAAGCAGGAAAAGTGCAACGGTAAAGAAAGCGGTAATCAGCACAAGCAAAAATGTGATGAATGAATTAGTCAGTGTGAAAATATTCGACATTAATTTGACATATTACGAGGGCGGCACTGAAAATTTCGGGAATCAAGAAAGTGACACAACATTACTATTTAAAAATGTATTTATTGCTTTTCGAAGTATTCTCCGCGAAATTTGACACATTTTTCCATACGTTGGAACCAATCATTGAAGCAATCATTCCATTCGGAAGTTGGGGTCTCCAAAATGGCCGTTTTGTAGGCGTCCACAGCTTTAGGTGATGAAAATCTCTGTCCACGCAATTTATTCTTTATTTTAGGGAAAGTATAGAAATCATTAGGGCTTAGGTCGGGGCTGTACGGCGGATGGTCTAATAATTCTATGTTTTCTTGCTCTAAAAACTCTTTTGTTCTGTGTGCGGTGTGAGAACTCGCATTGTCGTGATGGAGGATGATGCGGCGGTTGCAGTTCTCTTTACGGAGTTCAGAAACGACCTGTGGCAAACAAATGCTAGCATACCATTCTGCATTAACCGTTCTTTGTCTCTCAAGAGGAATAGTCGTAACATGGCCGGTTTTGGAGACAAACGTGGCCACCATTTTTTTTGCAACACTCCGTGAACGAACAATTTTTGTTGGCTTTAACTCATTTTCGAACTCCCAAACTCGTGACTGGTTTTTTTTTTCGGGTTCGTACGCATATATCCAGGATTCGTCACCTGATAGTATATTGTACACAGCATTTGAGGATTCTGCGTGGAATCATTCGAGAGTTCTGACGCACCAAGTAACGCGAGCCGCTTTTTGCTCTTCACAGAGCGAATGCGGTATCCATCGGGAAAACAACTTTTTTACACGTAAGTGTTCATGCAAGATTATTTGTATTTGACTCATGCCAATGTCTAAAGTTGCCTGAATTTCGCGGTATGTCACATGTCGATCTTCCTCAATTAGCTTACGCACAGCATCAACGTTTTCTTGGGTGACTGCAGTTTTTGGATGACCTTGACGGGGATCATCACTGAGCTTGACACGTCCACGTTGAAATTCAGCAAACCAGCGATAAATTGTGGTTTTGGATGGGGCTTCATCACCAAATGCACAAATCATCCGGTCAACACACTGTTTTTGTGTTAAACCACATCGAAAGTCATAATAAATCATCGCTCTTGAATTTTCATTTTCTCAACGACTAAACAAGTTTGATAAAACCTTGTGGCAAGACCGAGAATCTTTTTTAAATAAATAAATGGTATTCGATTTTTAAAACTAAGGAGTTTTCAATTAAAAAGATTTTAATATGACAGGAACAGTGGAAATATTCTATTCCCGATACTTTTAGTGCAGCCCTCGTATGTACTTACGATACTGACACAATGACGTGTATGTATCAATTCACAAAATGCACGAAAATCAATAATTGTTATTCAGTAGTTATCTAATGCAATTCATGATTATTATTGACTTATAATAATAATTGAAAATAAAAATTGATAAGTAACATTTGGATATGACAAAGACTTACAATATATTTAAATAGAAATATGTATTGTTTGATACTTTATTGCGTACGTATGTACAAAAAACGCAGGTGTTATTAGAAAAGACTGGAAATTTAAATATGAATCGCTGAATTCCTTTTTTTTTAAATAATATTTAACCGCAAGTTGTACAAAAAATAACGACTTATCACAAAAAACTTCAAAATTCATTAGATTATTTTTCGTATTTTTACCTTTTTTGTACAAAGTGGGGCATGATCTGGCATTCTCCTTTCGGTCACGGCGGCCAGTCATAAAACGAGACTAGCCACCTGCTCAAGACAAGATTAAAGTGCACAAGCGTGTGCGCAAATACAGGTATACTCTATTCCCTCAATTGCAATAATCCGATGGGACGCCAATTCGGCACAAGAGATCAGACACAAGATTAACGTTTTACGTGCCTGCCAAAGCCACGAGGGTGGAACGCTGTTATTTTCCTGACTCCGGGCTACCCACTTTTTCCGTAAAACATATAGAAGTAAATTGTGTTTATATATAATAAATAATTAGAGATTTTGGCGGGAACTTGACTGCCGGTGGATTGCTGCTAATATTTTATCATTTGAATATGTCTTGAAGAGGGTTATGATACGTAAAATTGGTGAGATTATGTGCATAAGTGTCAACGCATGCAGTGCCGGATTAACTACGAAGCAAGAGTAGCAAATGCTACGGGCCCCGCGCAAAAGGGAGCCCTACGTATCCAAACCCGCCCATCACAGCCTAAGCGTAATTTTTTCAGTGAAACTTAATAAGACTGTAATAAAACAAAATTTCATACGGTAAACGCACGAGTTTCAACGCCCACCACGACGAATGGCTCGGTGCTCGTACTACTGATCATGCGGGAAGATCTGTCTACAACTTTGCCTTGACATATGGTCGGACACAATTGGTCACTTCGCCCACGCGGATACAAGATGTGGAGGATTATCCGGACGCATATCGGGTCTCCGTTGATGCCCCTCTTGGCTTTTCGAATCACTGCTTGATCCAGAGTACAGCCGCCCATCACTTGCTCATTGCAGGCACAATCTGTAGGCTGCAGTCTGTGGTTTGGCTCAGCGGATTGGGATTCCATGAGAGCTTTTTTGCATCCTACCCATGAGGGCGGATTTGCTTCTCGCTGGATAATCCAATAAAAATCGTTGTTGAGTCTGACGTCGATGTTGTGCTTAAGATGATGGATTTTTTCATCCCGTCATCTGTAGTGCCTATCGGCGGCAGATGCCAGCCTTGGTTTGGACACTCCTGCAAAATTTTTGACGCGGAAAAAGCAAAAGCAGTGTTACAAGGCCTGGGCTGAAGCATCGGCGTCCCGGGAAGCAAACACAATCTACAAATCTGCATTAAGTTCCTTCAAAAGAGTTATCACAAGGGCAAAGTTCGACAAAAAAAATTAGTTCGCCTTCCTTCGGGAACTCGTTCGTTCGGATCGTGGAATTTTTGTAAGCCATCTTTACCATCTGTGAGTAGGGACGATGATTCGCTGGCCCACGCCACAGAGAAGAAAGCAAAGTTTTTAGGTTCTCTTTTTGCGTCCAACTCGACACTCATCGACGGGGGGAACATACCAATAACATACGTGTGAGTGCTCCATGTAATGTGCTGTTTACACAGCTGCTTGAACATTGTCTCTGGATGTCAACAAGTCGAATGGGCCTGATGGAATCCCCCAAATAGTGCTGAAGACGTTTGCTCAAGTGTTGGCACTGATTTTTATGCATCTTTTCCGGTTTTCTTACTCTTTAATCTTCGTTCCAGCCTCATAGAAGACAGTCTTAGTGCACCCGATCACTAAAAAAGGTGACCGGTCGAACCCGTCCAACTACAGCCTTTGTCTATATTCTTTAAAATAATTCGTCACCTCCTTGTTCTCCAAAATAATGGAATCTATTATTAACCGGAGGGAGGGAGGCCCAGGTGGTTAGTTTGGACATAGCGAAGGGTTTTGCACAAAGCGCCTCTTTCGAAGGTTCCCTCTTATGGGCTTCCCGAGAAGTTATGCAATTGGGTCACTAGTTTTCTTACAGATCGGACTATAAAGGCAGTAAATGGTGCATGCTCCGACTACAAACCTGTGAACGCTGATGTTCCACAAGGCAGCGT